AGCGCTTGTGACTTGAGCACGAGTGGATGTTCCAGCTGAGCTGGGAGGGACTGCAGTGGTCGTTCCAGGAGCTGGGTTGGAGCTTTGTGCTGTGGTGGAGATTAGCCTGGATGTTGTCTCAAGAGTAGACGTTGGCGCGCGAGTGGAAGAGGTTGAAGCTGCAATCTCAGCAGATGTGCCCTGGGACACTGAGGTGGAAGGTTCCCCCATTGTGGAGGTTGCCAATGTGGTGGCCTCAGGTGTTGACGTGGCTGTAGAGGCTCCTGTAGTGGATCTGGTGAGTGGCGTCCTTCCAATAGGTGTTGATGTTGTCTGAAGGTTCGAAATTTGTTTCTGAGTTGACGACGTCGAAGTTGTTGTCACCTTTTCAGCCGTTGTGTTTATTTGTTGGGTCCTATATATCTCTATATTTTTTGAATTTGTCTGCTTCTTATCAGTTGTAGTTGATGTATTTGTTATTTTAGGAACTGTCGTCATTACTTCAACTGTGCTTTTTGTCTCAGTAGTCTCCTGTAGTGACTTGCCTGAAATATAAATTGTTTTGTAGGTACCTTTTGAAAACTTCTGCCATTCTAATTTTCTATATTATTCAAACATTTTTCGCTCTGAATCTTCTGATTATTAAAAAATGTTTTTGCAGCTTTGTTTCTATTTTTACAAAAATCTATATTTGGAGATTTCTTTTATCGTGGGTTATAGGAATTATGTCTCTACAGTTATTTCTCTTTAAACTGAGAATTGAAATTAATCAGGAATCATTTGCTCCTGAAGGACTTTATTATATGACGTTATCATAGAACTATTTGCGTTTGAAGGGCCATTAAAACTCATCTCATTCCACTCCCTGCCATGGGAAAGGACACTTTCTATTAGTCCACGTTGCTCCAAGTCCCGTCCAACCTGGCCTTGGACACTTCCAGGGATCCAGGGGCAGCCACAGCTTCTCTGGGCAACCTGTGCCAGGGCCCCACCACCCTCACAGGGAAGAACTTCTTCTGAATATCTAACCTAAGTCAACCTTAAATCTCATCTTCCAATATATTTGCAGGATTCCCAACTTTGATCATTCCACAGAGAATCTTTCAAAGAATTCACGGAAAACTGTCCCTAAGGCTCAGAAGTTTAAATGGTGACATTTGAAATATCTCAGTTATTACTGAGCATTAATTGTTATGAGGGTGTTTCATCCTTATTCTTTCACCCAAACCCAGAAGAGAATATCCAGTAACAGCCATCCCTGAGGATTTCTCTCTACACTGGATAATTTCTTCTTTTAGGAAAATGTTATGTCAATCACTGAGGGCCCCCTGGTGGTCTAGTGGTTAGGATGCGGCGCTCTCACCGCCGCGGCCAGGGTTCGATTCCCGGTCAGGGAACTCCTCTGGCCAGATGGAACTCGTCAGCCCTGTAAGACCATCCATCTAAGAGAAGGTCACTCTAAACAAACCTACGTCCCGAGGACCTCGCTGCCACTGTCCGAGCTCGCTCGGCCCCGGCAGTTGAACCTTAGGATTAAAGGGTGGGCTCAGTTCAGAGCACACTGGGTCTCACCTAAAAAATCCACTGCGCAGGCTCAAAGGGTAATGACCTT